AAATAACTGAAAATTTTTTTTTTTCAATCATTTTCCATATTTAATAACTTGTTTTCTTAGTGGTTTCCTTTAAATACAATAAAAACATCTTCCACAAAAAAATCATAACTCATTTTTAAAAAATCAATAATTTAACTCATCTAACACGTCATTAATCTGCTAATGTTCTCTTTATCACCTTTTAATTAGTATACAATTACATCCTAATTTCACAGAACATTTCGTTACGATTTCTAATTTTTATTATCTTATAATCCATTGAATAGTCATAAACAGCTGCAATAATTAATAAGCCTACAATACAAAATATAAGGGGTTTTTTTTTCATAACACATTTCAGTAAGTACTCCTCCAGTTTCAAGGCCTGGTAAACTGTATATAAGGAAGAATTTTGAATTATTAAAACAATCATGAAGCCACAATATATTAAAGCCTCCAATGAATATTTAAATATGGGAGAAACAGAATTAGGAAAAATTCAGCTGGCTAAATCTGCGCATACCCACAAGGGATAAGCAAGTATGGGACATTTTGTAAGTTAATATGGCCAAATCTATGATTGATAATTTGTATATACTGTATTCTAATAAGGTAAATAATCTTATGGGATATAAATGTTATTGAACTTATGATTTGCTCAATGTGAGCTAATAGGAAATTTTGTTTAGTGAAGGGGGAAGGTACTATGACTCTGAGCAAGCACTGGACTCTGATCTGAATGGGAGGGTAAAGCAACTATTTGAAATACTCCCAGCGCTCTTGATAATCTTTGGGACAATCCTCTACTACAGTAAGTTGACATGACAAATGATCTACCACTATTTCTTTATCATATCACTATCTATGCTCTATAACCAATTTAATTTGAGCTTTGTTCTGTATATTCAATTCAATTCAAATATTCATCAGACAATTGAAATTCAAATATCCATAGTTCATGTGATATGTGACAGTTAATGTTACTTAATAACTGTTAGAATGTACAATAGAATACATGGGTCTTGGAAAACCACTTTAACAAGTAAGAAACTATTGTAGACCTGCTCCATCTGTAGACAGGATAAAATATAATGAACTCGACCCCAAAATGACCTAGAAAAAATTTGATAAACAACACTTTTATGAAGGCTTGAAGTGGCCGCCACATGTATTCATATGATGATGTAGATTGAACCACATTTATCCTTAAGCCTATTAAAATGTAAACAGCCTGACCTCCCCAAGTTTACCCCATAGTGGGTAAACTTATAGACACAAGCACACTAGGTGCAAATTGCTTGTGTCCTTGGGCAAGGCACTTTATCTACGGTTGCCTCTCTCCACCCAGGATTACAAGTGGGTACTTGGTAGGTTCCAACACGATTGCGCTGATTACTAGCTGCAATATTACGGAATAATAATATAATTTAATTTAATAATTAAATTTGCTGTTGAGTATGAGTTCCATATGTGTTTGATCCAATGACCGGGGTACTAATGTGAAGCGCTTAGAAGCATTGTGCATGAAGCGTTATATAAGAGCGACATATTAATATTATTATTATTATTATTATTATAAGTTTACCTGAACCATTAAAATGTTCACATGAAACCATCTTAAGGGCAAACAAAAAAATTCTTGTGTTGGCTACACTTTGGGAAAATTTTTAAAAAAATGGATAGGCTTTTTTTTTTTCCAATAATGTATTTGTTTCTAAAAAGTTAAATATACACAAAAATACAACAAAGATCATTTTATAATCTATATTGAAGAGTAGAACGATTGCATAACACTGTAACATCGCCTACTGTCCAGCAAGATAGGCCTGTTCGAGCCTTTTTAGGTCATAAAAAAAAAAATTGTTTGTTGTAGTCAAAAGAATAAAAAACTAACAATGCCGAACTTCATATTCGTACATTTTGGGTTGGCCGGGCGTGGCCAACACAATAATTTTTCTTTGTTTGGCCTAAATTGAATATATACAATTGCTCCTCTAGAACAAATATAAATCAGCACCTCTAAGACAAACATACATCAGCGCCTCTAAGATGAATATATACATCAGCCCCTCAAGAACAAATATATGCATCAGCCCCTCTAAGACAAATATACACCAGCACCTCTAAGATGAATATATACATCAGGGGTGGATCGCTATAAGCGGTCTTTAGACGTCACTACTGGTCTATGATTATAGACCATTGCTATACCGCGGTCTAACCAGTCGTCTTAAATTTTAAAGCCTACTCGAAGGAGGCTTAAAATGGTCTTAAATCATTTTCATCATGGTGTTACAGGTAGACCTAGTCCTACATTCGCAAGCTTCTCATCGTCTGTAAAGACTGGTCTGCGTTTATTTACGTTCATTTTAATAAATATGCATGTTTTGAGCAAGTGTAACAGCGCCCTTAATTTTATGTTTTATATCAGGGATTGCTTGTTTGCATTTCAACACTCAAACGGTCTAAGCGAAGACTGTTTTATAGCAATGGTCTTAGCAGAGTGACTTTAGTATGACTGTCCCTTTAAGATAAATATATACAACTTCTCCACAACTTTTCCTTTAAGATGAATATACTGTATACAATGTCAGTCCTTTTCAGATGAACAAGTACAACTTCTCCTTTAAGATAAATATACAATAGCCTTTAATTTTAAGATGAATACATACAAATGCCCCTTTAAGATGTCTCATGAAGAGGTACTTCACTACAAAGTGCTTCCTCAAAGTTTGAGACATCATAATCTTGCGATGAATGGCTTCCCAACTTGTAGTTCTATCTCCTCTAATTCAATGAAGGCCCAAGAACAGCATTAACATGCATGCACTGCACCTTGCAAAGCCATCAGTTTTGGGATGTTGGAATTCCATACAAAGTATTCAGACTGATATTTAGCCTAGACCACTACATGGTTCAAAATCATTTCAAAATCATTTCACATAATCTTAATTAGCAGGCTATTTAGAAAAAATAGAAAGTGTAAGTCTGTTTTACATAAAATGCCAGTACTCATAGAAATTTGTCAAACTTAAAGTTAACATCACTCACTTGATACAATGTAAATTAATCTTAAAATTTTAAGAAGTCATCATTGTGAGGGCAGTATTTACTTCCTTGATTAAAAATGTGTGTATGGAAAAATTATTTTTATTAATAATTATATTAATAATACCTAGGCCTATAACAATTATAATGAGTTCGTTGGTAGTCTTTAAACTCATTGCTTCTTTAATAAATAAACGTTTGTTAACGGTTTAAGACAATATAATTGAATTTGTTTAAATATTTTAATAACATTTATTTTTTTAAATAAGATGATGTTTTTTGTTGTTGCACAATGATACTTGAAAAAAAAGGCCTAAATGTTTTTCATGGCTGGAAGCAACTGAATTAGATACATGAATCTTCACTTTTATAAATAAAAAAATTTGTTGTTAATTAAGCTAAGTTTTAGATAAAGAAGCGAGTTCTGACACCAATCTCTCCTGATACAGCGGTCCACTATATCAATTTGTTAGTTGTAGGCCTACTTCTCATATAAGTACAAGTTGTCTTTGTTTTCTCAGTGCCTGAATTCCTAAAATAAAGTCATTAAACTGCATGAAGTCAGCAGCTAAGTGTGCAGCATTTAGATGTGTAGTTTCTATCTATTGATCTCCAGTGAGGGCGCCTTATAGCAATCTTATTCTCACAACATAGTAATTAACTAACTTTGATATTTATCCCGCACTTTTCTTCACCCTTAGTATGTCCATAATTATATTTATCTACTAAAGTAAAAAACATATTTTATAATTGATAATCATGGAATATTTTTAGCATATTTCAGGAAGATTAGAGCACATTTTATTGTTTATTAACTACCACATTTAATTTCTTGAAATATTTTCAGTTATTTGTTCCCAATTACTTTTTATATCACCGGTATTCAATTAACAATTAACAAAAATGCATGTTCTTTAATTAATTTTGTCTGAAAGGTCAATGAATTCAATTTAGATTGCTTTTAGTCAAAACACATATCCAATGACAGACAACTGATGTAACATAATAAAATAAAGTGGAAAAACCTCTACCCATAATGGATTCTATTTTATATAGTTATCATTTTCATTATGCTTGCTAAGTCTCTTGTTCATGTTAAGAATAAATCATCAAAGTGTAATCCATTTTAAGGTCTGACGACAACTAAAGGAGAGTGAATTCAGCAAAATAACAAACTTTATTTACTTCAATTTAGGTGTAATTTCTCAATTTCAAGTCTTGCTTCCATTTAAGATAACATGCCTAGTGGCAAAACGTTACGGCTGTAGACAGTACGGAGCCAGCTTTCAACCAGGCCGTATTTCCCTTTCTTGCGGAGAACGGCTCGGAGGAAAAAATGAACCGGAGTTAATGTGATCATCAGAAATTTTGAGGTCACTTTGCCTCTGGGTAAAATTGCCTTTTGTGTTCTATGAACACTAAAGATGGCCACTTCGTAGACTAAGCATTAAAACAAATGAGAAACATGATGGATAACCTACATACGATTAACGATTAAGGATTAACAATGTCTCTGTGCTACTTCTTTAAAATATAAACATCTTAATGCTACCTATTTAAACATGTCTCTGTGCTCCTTTAAAAACATCACTATGCCACTCTTTGAAAAGATGTCTGTGCTACTTCTTTAAAAACATCTCAGTGCTCCTATAAATGCCGTGGTGCTACTCCTTTACAAATATCTCTTTTATTAACATCATGATGCTACAATTTTTATAGTAATACTTCTGTGGCAATCCTTTATGTATTGTACTGTTTCATTTTTTTTTTTTGCATCCTGCTACTCCCTATTTAATACCTCTGAGCTACTCCTTTTTAAGAGCATATCTGCACCACTCCTTTAATAATGTTTCTGTGCTACTCCATATGTTTTTGTGCTACTACTTTAATATTGTATCTGTGCTATTCAGGACTGAATTCAGATACCTAATTTAAGCAGTCAAAAAAGGATGCATTTTTCCATCACTATGTTTTTAGCCTGGCCCCTGTGCCTGAGTCACTTGCCCCAGGCACTTTCTCTGGCTGTCCCCTCTCGTTGCTACTGGTGCTATTTCTTCAATAAGTCTTGTATTTTTTTCTGTATAGCTCATTTCATAGCGTCTGCAACTTTTTAATGTCTCTGTCTTCGCTTGGTAACATCTCAGTGCTACTGTTTTATCACTCTAAATATGATAAGATCTAATTCTGTTATTGTATACAGTATGTACTGTAAAAGATTAAAATACATTAAAAAAAATCTCTGATCATTATTTTCACATTGTTAAGCGCCTTTGAGCATAATTGATCATGAAAAGGAAGCTAAATACATTTGGTAAATAAATATAATAAATAAATAAATATTTACATCAAGATTTAATAGATGGATAAGATGGCCATTTCCATTGTTCTTAATAGGGAAGTCACAAAACTAGTTAAAACTAAAGAAAATAGGCCTAATCTTCAACTTCATAAGATCCCAAAGACATGAATAGGTGAAATCAAATGCTTGCCTTTGCCAAGAATAAAAAAGAAATAGGTTTGTGAGTTGCTAAATGCATTTCCGATGCGAACAGACTTAATGTGGATAATCATTGACAGAATTCAAAGGAAAATGAGTCAGAAGTGAAAACATCAGGTCAATACACAAACTAAATATATATAAAAAATATAAAGAAAATGAAAGAGAACCAGTATAACATGTACAGGTTATTAGTGTGTTTGGAGATGTTTCTATATATTTGGAACAGTTTTCTTTGGCTTAATTTGATTTTAAAGATGTACTTTCCCAGGATGAAAAGGTCTGTCGCTATTATAGATATTAGTACATTGTGTATCTGTTGAATCACATTCACCTGTTGAGCGTGAAAAAATGTTGTGTCAGAAGGAAGGATGGGGCACACTGATATGTGTATGCTATGAAGCTCAAAGCAAAGATTGTATGTAATGAGGCCCAATGCAGGGAAGTATCTAGGCTTGTTGCAGCAAGTTCCCATGAATGGAGGCCTAATGAAGATCTGTGCTGTAAGGAATGCTGCGGCAATTGTACCCATGTAATGGGCCTGATGCAGGGAAATATCCATGACATGAGTACCATTGCAGGGAAGTATAATGTGATGTGAGTGGAAACAAAAGGCCAAATGCTGGGAAGTATCAATGCCATGCCATGAGGCTTGCAACAGTGAAGTATCTATTTCAAGAGGCCTGTTGCAGGCAAAATATGTCATGAGAATCAGTGCATTCAGCATATCCATGTCTCATGAGCAATGTATATGTGCTGTGAGGCCGATGCTCCAATATGAGAATATACACTAGTATAGACTTATTGTAAAAACATAATATCCTGAGCCCTATGTTCCTGATTGATTGTGATATACTGAATGTACTGCCCACAAGACGGCCACTTTAAATTAAGTTTACGAAGACATAGTTGCCAAAAGAGTTTAGGTATTTCTTGAGAAAAACTACATTAAAAAAATGTAACATTCTGGAATTTATGTCGTAATTTTACAGCAAAGCCATCCATGTACTTATGTAGAAATGTATCAAGTAGATTGGTCAGGCAGATCACTAACGAAACTGTGGGCAGAGTTCAGGTAATGCTAACCGAACTATGCAGTATCATTTCAAGTCACATGACAGCATAATATCTGGCAACGATTTTTGTGACAGTTATTTGATACAAAATGAAGCAAATCTTTGATAAATGTGTGTAAAAAAATTGCTGGGTGGAAAAAAAAACAAGTAAATTATCATTAAATAATTGGGCAAATCCAAAAATAGAAATTAGTAGCCACGCTTCACTTTACTTCTCAAAACTTAATACCTGAAATACCTTCTTTTGAAGCATTTATTACTTTAAAAGAATATCTTCCAACATTATTACTTATTTTCATATCTGTTTTATTATTCATTCTTATTTTTTTTAAATATCTGTAAGTATAAAGTATTCAATTACATATAATTTTGTGGTTTTATTACATTTTCATCTGATAAATAATAATGTACACAAGCACTCAATCAAAAAAGAAATTTAAAACATAGTACATTTTGAAAAAGTATATAATAATCTGTCTGTTTGAATCATCATCTTCAACACCAGAGGCAATATTAAAAGAGGGCAGTATGAAAGGTCACAGGCCAATAATTGACATCTAAGTATAATTTGCACTATCTATCATAAAGCCATAGTTTCACATAGAAGGCATGTACACAGTTATACTCAATGATAAATACTATGTGAGCCTCATGGTTACGAAAAATGCGTGAATGAACTAATTTTTACAACTACACTCTCGGAAGTATTGCTTCATGTGATGCTATTACCGGTATCCCTAGGTGCATGATCATCATGGATGTACACAGTGGCTTTAGGGTGAACTAGAATGTAGGGCTAACCTATATAACTATTCTTCACAGTAAACAGAATCAAGGGAGTGTACACAGGGCCTATTTGCGGAGAGACTTGGGTTCAGCTACTTAAAGTCTGAGTGAGAATTTGATTTAAACCAACATTGATGTCGAGCAAGCTTCCGAAATACTTGCCTTTTCCATGTTCGTCGTCTCAATTTCTAAACGTATTAACCACTACTAACATTGATATTTAAGGTTACTCTTTATGTGTTCCAGTTATGTTTTTTGATCATTTGTATTTTCTTGTTGTATGTCATTTGTATACTGAATATTTCCTGCAGTCCATAGTGCACTCATAATATTTAACGTAAATATGATAAAAAGAGCCAAAAAGCTAATATGAAAGGTACACAGGGGCAAAATGCAATAAAGCTTCATATAGCAGTTATTAAAGAGAGACTAACATCTATATTATTAAAAGGGAGATCTATGTATTAGAGGTACTCAAACGCTATTTAAGGGACACAAAGATCTATAAAGGGACACAAAAGCATGTATTAAATTAGCACAAAGATATACTGTAAAACCAGAAACTTTCGCGGCCTGAAACTTTCGAGAATCACCAATTTCGGTCGTTTTCGCAACATAAAACTTTCGCGAATTGCAAAAATAGAGTACAAAATTTTTATTCCTTAATCCAGAGAATACTAATAATTGAAATACAAAAGTCAAAATTATTTACTTATCTTCACTGTTCTGTCAAAATTTCTGCCATAATTTGGAGGAAAAATGTGTTTATATGTACACAAATAAATGTAACTTAGACATATTGTGTCTTTTAAATTGATCGTTTTCTGTATTCTGTACTGCAGTAACAACATTGGCATACTTCCAATACTGGTACTTTTCCAGTCTAGACCGATCGTGGGAATAAGCTTCACTGTTATCTAACGAAATGCACGTACTGGCGGCGCCACAAAGCTTCTACTGTCAGCTAGCGAAATGCGCATACTATCGGCACCACATAGGATACCGATAAGGTTACCGCAAGTGAAACACGCGCGAACAATTAGATTGACATTTCCTAAGATAACGGTATGGCTTTTCTCTTCAGTAGGGCTTAATGTTACCATCCCAATTTTTATAAACAACTTGTCCCACGTACAGTACACTTACCTGCGCGGTGAGCGGTGGAAGCTGTCCAGCGATAGTGAAAAAAAAAAACAAGAAACATGCGAGTTTTACTATTTTGTGTTCATTTCGTCATTGATAAAATATTGTACTGTTAAATTCCGTATCGTACGAGGGAACCTTAGAAGCTATCTAAGAAGACAATTACAGATTTATAGTTTATTGTTAATGAAAATACAGTGTTCATACTACAATATACCGTACATAATAAACGACCATACAATAAAACTCGATGTTGGTATTTAATTTTAACGAAAATACGATAGCAGCCTTTATGTAATACCGACAGATCCTTAGCGCAAACAACAAAGGTTATTTGTCGTTTGAACAAGTGCGCGCGTCAAAGCATGACCTGATTCCCACGCATACCAATCAGGACTGACAATCAACCTACTCTATTCCTGCTTTTGTTTCGAAGTACAGTACACAAGTTGGCAGAAGCACGAACGTCAGCTAATTTTACCGATCCGATCGACATTCACGATGATCAGATACAGTAGTATACTACCAATCTTTTGCGCTCTCCAATACTTACTTCAAACATGTATGTGAACTGAAAATTATTCGTGGCATGAAACTTTCGCGAATGGCTAAGATTAATGCGCGCGAAATTTCCTGGTTTTACAGTATATCAATGGGACATGTGACTAAAAAAACTGCACATAGGTTGGTTAGTTAAGGTGCATAGAGACTAGTATGTTAAAAGCACATCCTTCATGGTACACAAGGCTTATCTAGAGAAGTACACAGGGACTAGTGTATTAAAAGCACATGATTAAATGTACACATTGATATCAAGAGAGGTACACAGACTAATACATATTAAAAGCACATACTTAAAGGTACACAGGACTTATATCATGAGAGGTCAATAGGGCTTTGTCCTCTGGCTGAGTCATGAACAAGAGTTTATGAAGGAAATGCATAGAGAGCTAAGCTGTGTTTTATCAGCTCAGTTGAGCCAACAGACTTCAGGAAGGCCTACAGATAGGCTTATGCTATAATGTGTCCCACAAAAATACAGCCTAGTGATTCAACATTATGAAACAAAGGCAATGATGCAAATTATACAGAAAAAAGGCTCATTATTACGACACGTACAATCACCCTATATTACAGGGGTCTCAATTCTTCTGAATCTAACGAAAATTCAGAGAGCCGTCCGCAGCCCTGAAAGAAAGTAAAAACCTCACAAAAACTAAAACCTACTGATCAGTGATCCCCATTATGTTTACAGTACACCTAAGTTACTAATTCCCCTTGCGTTTAAGAGTACGCCTACTGCTTACCCTGATTAGTTCCAATTAAACATGTTCTATAGATCATTTATTCCTATTGAGCCAATTTAAATTGTTCAAACATCCTTACTTCTCCAACTTACTTCATAAATTATATTTATCTCAGGTAATGAATATCACAAATTTTCTTGCTGTGCACTTAATTTATTGGTACTGTATTTGATGATGTTAAATATTCAATCCAACACTACTGGCAATGGCATCAACAAATGATTTAATTTATCTATTTATATTACTTCCCCTAGTGTTCCACAAGGCCATCTCCCTTGTGGATTATTCAGTTTTTTTTTTCTTCAAGCCAAATTTATTCCGAACAGCTGAGCAATTAACACATTTTTAGGAAATAAAAAAAAATTTATCTTGCTATTAATGGTTTTGTATTTCTTTGTTTTCTAACATTTATTAGGGTATAAAAATTTGCCAATACCAGTACCTGCAAGGATAAAATAATACATTTATTTATGATGTTATTCAATACCTTCCAACACAGGTTCATGTTTACTTACAGAGTGCATGCTTCCCTAGTCTATAAGGCAAAACTGTTTTTATACCTTTAGAGAACCCTTTGCCCACCAATAATGATTTTGAATAAAAAATAACATTTTATTTTTAGCCAATTTATTCCAACTTCCACTATAAAAAAAAATGGAAATTTCAGAAAAACATGGAAATTTCAGAAAAAAAACAAATGTTTATCTTTATTTTTATTAAGCCTGTTGCTGTATTGAAATCTCTAAAATTAAAATGTGTATTTCTTCCTACTCATTTATTTTTATTTTCTCTTCTGTCTTGATGAATTCTGGCACAACCATTTCTTAAATATGAAAACAAAATTTTATTTTCGCCCTCCTCTGATGGTCCTTAAAAAAAGTTTGCAAAGCCACTTAAAAAAAAAGTATCACTAAAGACAAAAATGTCTTTATGACCAGCTTCAGTACTGAATTAAAGATCATAATGCTTAACTACATACTTTCATTATTAATTAAAACATTTCTGAATATCAATATGGAGTTTCCTTGGGCATCACTATACCGTATGACGCATTGTATGTGACGGGTGACCCTTACTGTTGACCACGATGCTTCGTCAGATGCTGGACAGTTGGTCATGATCCTTGACAGTTGGCCATTTTACTGTACTTAAGGCCGGCAGCTACAGTAACCTACATATTTTTTGCTGATTTTCAGCTCAAATATTCTTATTTTGTTTTTAATTTTTAAGCAATTTCAGCCTCGGTAATCTACAGTAATTGGTACAGCAGCTACAGCAACCTATGCATTTAACTGGATCCATTTCAAGTTCAGCAAAACACAAGCATTTTTATCCAAAGTTAATTCAACACAATAAATAAATACGCTTCTTTTTATAAGAACCAGTAAAATTTTGCCAAGGCTCGGCATCCTTATTCTTTTGCTGATTTTAAGATCAAAGTTCTTATTTTGTTCAATTTCAGTCTCAGTGTTATAAAAAAAGTATGATAGTTAAATCTACAATAATAGGTATCAAACAACAGATCTGCAGCCTGGGAATATCAAGTCCATGCTGCAAGTAGGATACAGAGGCCTACCCCCAAGTGCTCATCTTAGAGAAACAAACGCAAGTTTTTCCCAATGAAAATATTCACAGCTGAGACTTGATACTGGCCTCAAGGATAGCAGCCTGAACCACAACCACTGCAATAACTGTTGCATGTTACACTAAGTTCGTCACATAGGGCATACTCTACATATAACTACCTAATTATATATGATATTTATATTTTAAAGAGGATGAACAAGCTGGCTTAAAATGTATTATTATGTCAACTTGAATGTGAACCAGCATAAATGAACAAGTTGATTGAAAAGTTACAAACCTTGTTTTCACTGTTTTCAGCAAGCGAACCTGTTACCACAACAGATGGTGAACGTTGACTCTGCTGACTACCAAATGATTCTAGAAAATCAAAAAACAAAATAAATTGAGTCAAATGTACTGAGAAGGCCTACATTACCAATGTGCAATCACACAAGATTTCACGAAAATTGTATAATTAGGCTATGTTCTATGAGCTAACGGTTGGAAGGATCTGGATCCTGCTAACCGTTAGCTCCCGTGCGTCCATCCGAGAAAATCCCGATCCGGATACCAAAAATATGATGATCAAATCACTGGCCAATAAGAAACTGGAAATTGTAAATGGGTACGTGTGATTGGTTGATGATAGAAACACGCTCAACTTGCTAACCGATAGCGCTTAGTAACCGTTAGCGGTATCCGGATACTGCTAACGGTTAGTGCTATCCGGATACTAGGGCTCTCGTGAGAACGAGGCTTATGTTATTCTTAGCAACATCAGTGGATGGTAGGTATGCTGTTTCACAAACATATAATCATATCATAGGTATAAAATTTTGTATAGCACAAGTTAGCCTATATCAATATATCCTCCAGTACTTACACATCATAGACAACTTAAAATCAAAAGGAACTGTGGTGTGCTTAATAATAATAATGGGTTGCCCATGAGGTCATTCAAAGTTTACTCAAAGCTTATCTGCATTAAATATTGTTCATGAATATTCATCATATGAATTTAAATACAAAGTGTTCCTATTAATGATGAAGATAAACTTTATCATAGTGTTTTTTTGTTTTTTTTTTAAATTGGTTCGCTTCATGTTGTTTATTCTTAGACTGTGTTTACACTGTGTTCCAATTCCAAATTAAACAGTAACAGTATGTGCACCTGTGAATTTTCATTAATTATCCAGTAGGCAGTTGAAATAGGAGGAAGTTTAAATAGAAAGTTACAATCACATTTTGTTTACATAACAATTTCACATTAGGATCAATGCTCATTTGCCAAGCTTATGTATTGTTATTCTAAAATCTCTATTATCTTAAGGTAACCAAGAACATAAACTTAATAAGCTATCAGTTAGTACAGAATGTTGGTATATGGAGCACAAAGAGAAAATAAATGTAGTTTTATATTATATTCCTAGTTTCATTCCAGTATTTAGTTCCCCTACAATATCTTTTGTCAATTACCAGTATCTCTTCTTCCTAGTTCTCAAAAGTTGAACTCGTTTTCAAAAATACATATGAATATTGTTGATTTGATGCTCATAAAAAAAAAATCATCTTAAACAGCCAGAAATCATTCAAATAGAGCGACGGCAGACTGATTGAAGACTATTCTCTTTTTACTTCAAAAATTATCTATTTTGCATAATGATAGTAATCATTGCTAAGCACACTATAATGATGATGTCCAGTCATTGCTACATTGTTGCTATGACAGTGTCATGGTGATGTATGGTCAGTCATACACCTGGCTTCATCAGGCCACTGTGTCACTAACCCTTCATAGAAATGGCTTCAACTTTGTTGTCTTTTATCATCCATCCAACTTAAACAGAGCTCTACCAATGCATGTTTCTTTTTGCCTAAATTTTCATCCTGATATATATACTGTAGGTTAATATATAGAAAGTATCTTTGTACAGTACTAAATCCTACATGTTTGAATCATATTCCTAGGTTAAGTAAAACTGGAGTAAGATCATTTTAAAGTTCAAATGTCTAAAAACATACTTAAAATTGCCTCTAAAGATAAACAACTGAGAAATTTTGTGTTGGTTTTCCTATCAATTCTGAAAAATAGCTTTACAAAATGTGCCTCAACAACATGATTACCTAAGGTAATTCAACTTGGAACTTTTGCTAATGTGAAATATACATAATAAACTTATCAGAAAAATTGAAATCCAATTTTTGTCAAAATATCACTTCAGATATATTTTTTTAAATATATCAAATTGACCTGGTGTACCGCAAGACTCATTTTGTCACGAAAGCTCACAAGTGTGAGTACCACAGGTAAAATCAAAATATGGTTTGGGATACAAAAACAAATCAAATTGAGCGTTCTTTTTTAAAGCAGCAGTGGATGTCTTAATTCCATATAATTATTTTTTATTTATTGTTGATATTGTTATAAATGCTAAGTTTTTGTGAAATACTCGTTAAACCTTATTTTGACATTGTTTTGTTCTTCAGCACCTGCAATCAAATACTGAGGATGCTAGTATCATGCTAGTATTAAGTCATACAACTCTAAAGTACCTTTATATTTTTGAGTTATGTTTTCTAAGCTATTTCTCATTTTACACAATATTGGCACACTGTACATATTTATGATACATGATTATATATGTCATACTCTTTCATTTAAGTACGAGGTAGCTTCATCTATTCTGCATTTATTGCAAAACAGCTGACATTTTTTTCATAACAATGATCTCGATCATAACAAAAAACCCCAGAGATTTTCTACAAGCAGATATGTATTAAAACATTGATTGAATAGGATCATTGGCGACAGCACCACTAATGCCGTTGCTCTTCCCCGTTTACACTGCTGCGAATTTATAAAAGATTGACAAAGTAATTTTCTGAACACAGGCAATGATGAAGCATAATGGAACTTTCATTCGCTCTTGGGAAGCTACACGCATAATGGGAAGGGGTTCTCGTTGGATGTTCATAAAGCATAATTCCAACTAGTAGTAACTATGCCCAGTACCTCCATCTGCACACAAAATAATTTCATTTTAACTTTCTTCTGTTGAATCTTAACTTCAGGTTTGGTGACACAGTCGGTAAATGCATACTAAGCTTTACTTTAATGGTTTCTACAATGATAATGGTATTTGCTCCTCGATGTTTGATGTGAAAGCACCAACTGCAAATCAGAATCAGATTTATTTGTCTTCACGGAAATTACATTTGAGGCAAAACTGCTCTTAACATTTAAAAATTCAATATGCAACTTAATATATAGACTGTTGTCTAATGTTAGTTACAGTATATACTGTAGAATATGACAAATAATAATGAAAAAACCTTGTGAATTTAAACTTTAATGATTATTAAAAAGATATTGTTTTAAAATCAATTTTTTTGCCTGGCATTGCAGAGATGGCTATAAATAATGAATGAACCGTTTCAAGTTGGCTTATTACACCATGACTTTAGTTTAGGAACAATACAGTTTGGCTTTTTTTTATGTGCAGGACATCACATTCTGGCTGACCTAAATGATTACTCTTCAATGAAATTATTATCCAAATACAACTTTAAACTCGAGCCTTAATCGCAAGCCGTTTGAGGCCAGAATTCCACTCTTGTATTACATGTAAATGCTAGGGCATTGAAAGTAAATGCTAAACCTATGCTTCATAAATATCTTATTTAGGTACATTGATTTATTGTAGTGCTTAGCTTTGGCTCACTGGCTGTAGACCATAGCCCTTTGAATCACAACACATATAGCTATGACACTACACCGCTGCACCTGCAAACACAATACAACAGGCTGACAAAGTGCACTTTAACCGAGGTCACCTGGCTTTGGTGAAACCCGAAAATTCAATATAAATGAAATTCTACCTACATCATTTTGCGCAAAGAAAAGCTTAGACTAAGTGGATTGTTTGTTGTCTATCTTTCCCGTGTAACACAAGATAAATGATATAAAATATATGGATGGTATGACCAAGGTACACCTTGAAAATAGTGTATATAAATGATTCATTAAAACTATCAACTGGTGCCATTGGCTAGTATTGAACCCAGGACTCTTAAAACTGAAGGTGGGCACCTAAAAAAAAACTGGTTCCATAATGATGATTAATCAAGTCAAAATATGACAATATTAAGAACTTTTATCTAAAGAAACAAAATAATGATATCCTTTTGATCACTTTTGTATCTTTAGTTCTTTCATAATAATCATAATAATAATAATGGTCGACTTATAGAGCGCATATCATAGAGACCTATATGTGCTTTCATGAGTTAATTCCTTTGTGTTCAGCTACTTTTCCCAAAATTTGACTCTTTTTCTTGTCCTAATTTCAAGCCCAAATTCATTCTCCAATGCTTGTTGAAAACGGAAACATCCAGAACTATTCTTTTTTAATTGGCTGTTATATAACGCATAAGGTTAATACAGTGTCAAGTGTGATACATCAATTACTGACTGTTGTAATACAGTAGGACTACTGTTTCATGACTTGCCGATATGAAGATTCAACCCATGCAGTAAAAGTAGCCAAAATTCAGCCCGGTCTCGGCTGACATTAGCATCCACATGTACAGCGTGCTTGCATTTTATACTAACCTCTGAGGAGATGGAATGAAACCAAAATCTAAACTTTGATCTAAAAGATGTCAAGAAGGAAGTGATAGACTTTCAGCTTTTAAGCATTGTGTTCATTTATTCAACATTATCTCATTATAATTTTTAATCCATGATCTACCTCTTAAAATATAAACATCCTGAACTCTCCTTTAGTCAATTGTGTGTATCTTTATTCACACTCTTAAATTAAAACAGAGACCAGCCAATTTCGGCTTATGAACTATGGATACTTGTTAACTGTTAGTGCATAGCATAAATAGCCTCATGCATAGGTCTATCTAGACCTGCTAAGGTAGCATTATGTTGATTGTGATTACTGGTATTAGGTATCACAACGGACATACACTGCATAACCACAAAACTGATAACCTGTCTCTTATACACATCTAGATGTGTATAAGAGACAGTATATATTTTTTGCTAATATTATGTTATCTATATAATAATAATACCATTATTTATATTCAGTTTCTATACAGGTTGCAGTTCTTACGTGTTGAAAGCTGGTAAACTATATTTCAAAATTGTTTACGCATTGATTATCAGCCCGACGATCCAGCCTACGATCATTGCAAAGCTAATTAAAATAACAATGACCTTCGTAGTGGTTCGTAGCTACGTTCCAAACGGTACCTACGAGCAGGCTACGAGAGGTTATGCGCAGATACGAAGCGATATTTCCTGTCTGTACTGTATATATATATATATAATTTAAATATCACTATAATCACTTTATATATCATTA